ACCGCGCCCCGGGCTGAGCACGAGGCTGGCGCAACAGCTGGGTTGTCGCATTTTGGCGACAATGAGCGAGAGTTCTGGAAGACCGCGAAGCAGGACCGCGAGCTCCCACCCGCATGCCCGGCCGCAGCTAGGGAGGAACAGCGAGACAGGGACGCCGTTGAAGGAAAACGCGCGGCAGTGGCGCAAGCCCGCGCGTCTCTGAATCGCGAAGATTTGAAAATCTACGTCTCTTCATCCGCTGTTGAGGTGCATTGGTGGCGAACTGTTGCAATGCTGCGCGTTGGAGATGGGGGGGGGGGCCCTGGGCTTGCTGCGAGGGCGCATGGACATCGACGTCGGCCGCGTGGACCGTGCCCAGGTGGGCCCGATATCTCGAGAGCATTGCGGATTGCTGCCGCGCGCAGATTTTAAAACATTTTTCAGGGCAGAGGTGAATGATGCGATTGGAGACCTTGGAGGAGAAGATACAACGAGGGCATGGGGCGCGTTCCGCTCCGTCAAAAACCGCCGCGGGCGTGGGACGTTGCGCCCCTCGCGCAAAAGCTGGCGAGTTCGCTTTGGTGCGCGGGCCCTTCGCGAATATCCGCGAGCGCGTGCGCCCGCGTGATTTCGCGTTCCTGCGTGAGTGCGCAGAGCGCAACGCAGCCATTCCACGTCGGATGCGAGCGCAAGGTGGTTCCCGCAGATCGGGGTGAGCGGGCGGGCGGGCGGGCGATGCCTGCAGGGGGCTCGCGGGAGTTCGCGCAGCGCCTGGCCAGGGAATCCCCCCGCCGCCAGACCCCGGCTCGATGTTCGGCAACCGCGGCTCGGCAGGGGGGGGGGGCCTCCCGACGTCGCCGACGCAGTGGATGTCGACGCCGAGCGGGTCGAGCGCCAGGCCGAGGCAGAGCCGGGCCCGCGGGCTAGGGAGCGCCGGGTGGTCGTTGATTTTTGCCCCCGCAGGACTTCCTGGGGCGTTTTTTGGGCGGGCATTTCCAGCGAGAGTTGCCGTGGCCAAAGCGTTGCCGACTGGTGGGCGCGCGAGTCGCGTCGTCGGCATACATGCCGTTCAAACGTGGCGCCGTTTGAGGCGCGTCGTCTGCGCGCCTCAAGCTGCGCCATTTCGGGCACGCCGACGGCGCGCCATGAGGGGCGACGGGCAGGAGCCGGCCTGGGCGCCACTTGAAGCGCGTTGAGCGCGTGCTTCAGGTAGGTCCAGGTAAGTGTCACTTGAGGCATGTCGACTGCGTGATTCGAGCTGGACACGTCGCGCGCCAATTCGGGCGTGTCTGTTGCTTGAGGCACGTCAACTGCACGCGCGATGTGGTGCCGACGGAGGGCAGATTGCACCATGTCGTCTGTATGCGCCAAGTCGCGCCAGTCCTGCGCCGCCTGGGGCAAGTCGCCTGCGCGCCTTACGTAGTGCCAGTCAAGGACCGCATGAGGCATGTCGCCTGGCTGCCGCGAGTGGTGCCAATGCAGCGTCAATTGAGGCATGTCGCCTGCATGCCTGATGCGGTGCCCACCAGCGCCACTTGAGGCGTGTCGCCTGTTAGCCTCAAGCGGTAATTGCCATGGGCCACTTGAGGCGCGTCGCCAGTATGCCTGAAGCTGCGGCACGTCGCGTGCATGGCCTGGGTCGTGTCAGACAAGTACCACTTGCGGCACGTTGCCTCCACGCCTCAAGCGGCGACGACCCAGTGCCGCCTGACGCGCGTCTCAAGCGGTGCATATCAGGTGCCGCTCGGGGCGCGTCGCCTGCATGCTGCAAGTGGCGCCGACCCAGTACCACTTGAGCCGCGTCGCAAGTTTGCCGCAAGTTTCACGGACCACGCGCCGCGCGAGGCATGTCGTCTGCATGCATCAGGTGGTGTCATGCAGGGACCATTTGCTGCGCGCCGTCTGTGCGTCCCAAGTGACGCCGATGAAGTGCCGCTTGAAGCTCGTCGCCTGCATGTCGCATGCAGCGCCGAACTTTCGCCATGTGTGGCATGTCGTCGGTATGCCTTTGGTAACGCAGACCCAGTGCCACTTGAGGCATGCTGTCTTCATGCATCAAGTGGCACCAGCCAAGTACAACTGGAGGTGTGCCGTCTGCATGCCTCATTAGGTGCCGATCAAACACCACCCGAGACATGTCGACTGTCTGGCTTCACTGGTATGGGTGAAATACCATGTGGGACATGTCCTCTGTGTGCTTCAAGGGGTACAAGACAACTACTCCTGTAGGCGTGTCGCCTATATGCGTCGGGCGGCGCCGATGAACTGCCAATTGCGGCATGTCGTCTGTATGACTGAAGTGGCAGCAGCCAAGTACCACGTGAAGCAAGCCGTCTGCATGCCTCAATTGCTACCGTGCGTGGTCACTAAAAGCATGTCGCATGCGTGCGCCAGGGGGTACCATACCACTACCACTTGAGGCATGTCCTCTGTTTGCCCCGAGCGATACCAGCCACGCGCCATTTGAGGCATGCCGTTTGCAGGCCTCAAATGGTGCCAGATCCGCACCGCATGAGGCATGCCGTCAATATGTGTGGAAAAAATGCAAGGCGCGCCCCAATTGATGCACGTCGCCTGTCAGCCTCAAGCGGCACCCTTCGCGGCCATCAGGTAGTGCCAAACAAATAGCAGTTGACGCAGATGGTCTGTATGCAGCTACTACCAATGCAGTTCCAGCTGAGGCATGTCGTCTGTTTGCCTAAAGTTCCACCGGGCCAGTACCACTTGCGGCGTGCAGCATTCTTTCAAGCGGCAGAAGCCATCTGCAACTTGGGGTACGTCGCCTGAATGCTTGAAGCGGCAAGAAATCAAGTGCCACTTGAGGCATGACATCTTTGTGGCTCAAGAGGTTGCAGACAAATGCCACTTGCGGCATGCTGTCTGCATGTTTCAAGTGGTGCCGACAAAGTGCCGCTGGACGCACGTCGTCTGCGTGTATCAACTCGCACCGAACAAGTGCCGCTAGGGACATGTCGTCTGTGCGCTGCAGACGGGACCGACCAAGTACCACTTCAGCCGTGCCGCGCGTTTGCCGCAAGTTTCACGGATCACGCGCTGCTTGAGGAATGTCGTCTGCATGTTTTTGGTGGTCCGCGCGCCAGTTCGGTGCCCCTCCGCAATCAGAGACGACGTGGATAGAGGAGAGGACCTCCCCCCTCCGGCTTGCGCATGGCCTTCGCACGCCGAGGAACCCTCCCCCCCGAGGGCCTCCACGGCCGCCGAGTGAGTGGTTCCCCCCGCAGAAACAGCGAGTATGCACCAGTTCGGCGCCTCCCCGAGGACAGAGGGAGCGGGGCCACGGCAATGTTGGATCCTGCCTATCAGGTTTTCGCCTGCCCCCCGTGCGCCGGCGAGTACCTCCCCAGGGAGCTCCTCTGGCTGCAAGGGGAGGCGTCTGGGGCGAACATCGGCTTTGAGCCAGCTCGGCGCCCCCCCCACGTGGCAGGGAATGGAGGCGGAAACAGTCCCCCCTTTCAGGTCGACGCACGCCCTCCGCGCCCCGAGGACCCCCTCCCCAGGGGAGTTCCTTCGGCTGCGTGGAGGGCTTCCCGCGCTAATGAGGGACATGCACCAGTTCGGTCCCCCCCAGATGCACATAACGCCGAGTCCCCGACGGCAGCGCGGGCGTAAAACGAACGGTGGACAGCCAGCCTCCCCAGGACATCGCACGCCTTTCGCGCTGCGGGGGGGGGGTTGTGGATCGAGCCACGCGAGCAGGGGAGACTGAGAATTCCTTCCTCCAGCCCCCAGCCCGGGCCGACCCCCCCCCGCGACGACCGGGAAGCCGACGAGCGCGCCAGATCCCCGCCATGCAGACGCCATCCCTCCCGTCGCTGATTCGGATGGTGGTTGCGGAGGGCGTGAGGGACCTCGCGGACATGACCCTTGCGCCTCTGATCCCCCCTGCCGGAGTGTACGCCCATACGGTGACCCCGCTGCTCTCCGCTCCCCCGGCAGCACCAGCAGGGGGCCAGTCCCCGAGGCAGACGAGACAGACGCATGAGGAGAGGCTCCCCAAGCAGGCGCACGCGCCCAGGGCCGGCCCTCGAGTGGAGCGGAATCCGCCGCGCCCTTGACCCCAGAAGACGACAGATCAAGACAAGCCCAGTCCCCAGAGCAGGCTCCACCTCACCACGCCCCAGCCTCCCCGCACGGCGGAGGCCCCCTGTGCGAAGTGGGGCCTCCAAGCACGGAGGCGGCCGCGAGTGCAGGTTTGTAGCCTTTTTGTTTCTGTGTTTGTGTGCACTAGAATGTGAAACCTTCGCCACGTAGGCTCGTGACCCCGCAGGTGGGTCGGCGGATCCGGAAGTACTCTGGGTAACCATGTAGCGTGCTGAGAGCATCAGTGACGCACTTTTTATTCCCCATCTTCGTCCTCCTCTTTCTCCTTCTCCTCCCCCTCCCCTATCCTCCCCCTGCGTACAGGTTGAAGCGGTGCCCCTGGACATGCGAGGCTCCCGAGGCTGCGGAGAGGAGCCCGAACCTGGAGGGGGCCCAAGCAAGGTAATCGATGCTCTCATCATTCGAAGTGACGGGGGCCCCTCCGCACGCTGTGCCTCCCCCATCCCGGCCCTCCTGCTGGTGCCCCCACTTTGCCCTCCACAGCCTTTTGGCTCAAAACCCCGGGGCCTCCCGAATGCTCCTTGGCCGGGCGGGCAGAGGAACTGCGCGCCCATAAGCGGGGCGCCGCTGGTCGCCGCTTTGCCGCGTGACCCAGGGGGCCCAGGAGGCGGCCCCGTCTCCGCAGAGGGCAGGGACAGTAGGCTCGCGCCGCGTCGACACGGCGGCGGCCCCATCGCGGCCTTCCCAGGTCGAACGCCGCCGGTGGCCGGGAGTGGGCCGACATCGAGCGGTTTTCGCTGGTTGACGGCCGCGATCGCTGAGGGTTGAAGCACCAACGCGGTGCCAGAAGCCAGCGCGCAAGTCGTCGTGGCACCAGCCTGCCGGAAGTAATTACAAACCGCCACGAAGCAAGCTCGGGCCTTCCTTGGGCTCTCGCTGCTTCGTCCCTGCGCGGCAGCATGCCGCTCCGTGCCGCGCCCGCCCGCCGCGGTGCCCCGGCTCGCGCGCTGGCGGCGGTAGCGTGGTGGGCGCTCACCACCCTTTCCAGGACAGCCGCGGGCGCGGCCGCCGCCGGAAGTGCTTGGCCAGGGGGGGCCCTGCCGGAGGCAGGGGGGGGGTGTATTGGGAAGAGCGGGGGGCGTCGAGCCACTTCTATTGTTGCGCCCTTTCCCTGGCAGCGCTCGCGCCGCCGCAGAGCGAAATCCGGGTGAAGGAGATGGGGTCGATGCATCGCGCCACGTCGCCGATGCATCCGCGATGCTGCTCGATGTGGATCCCGATAGTCTCCATGCCGACGTCGCCGATGGGGCGCGATCCACCGATCCCATCTATTTCGACCCCTTGCGAGCGGCCTCGAATTGGCAAGAGGGGTTCACGCTACTTTTTTGTTGCGCCTGCTCCCCAGGCGGGTCTGGCCCGCGGCCCTTCTCACACGCACGAAGCCCTGCTGGCCGGTCGGATGGCCGACCAGGGAATGGCGGTTGCGAGTTTCGAGCGTTTTCGTATGTTCTCGGTGGCATTCCAGCCTCGGGATGCTCTCCAGCAGCTGCGCCTCGCCGAGAGCGCTCGGGAGGTACCCGACTCGTCCCGACTTGCCACTGGAGGCCCGAGTTGTCTATCTATCTGTGTATATATATATATATATCCGAAAACCAGACGACGAGGATCCTTTGTCTCGGCTGAATGGCGTGGGATTGGGAAAGGGGGTGGCGCGTTGGCGCCAGGCCACCGGAAGAGAGGCCATAGGAGAAAAGCATACTGAGACCGGTTCCCTTCCCTTGTCTTGTTTTTTGTTAGTCTCCTGGGATGCCCTCGCTGCTTCCGAGTCCATCTTGCTAGAACGTACCCCAGGAAGATCGGGGGGAGCAGCGGCGTCGGTATTTTCCGTTGTTCCCGGAGAGGCGCGGGGTGTGGCGAAATTTGCGTGTGAAGGATCCAGGTAGCCCAAATGGGGTCAGCAGTGAGCGTCGCAGGATCGCGCCATCTCGTCGTTGCATCGGCGATGCGGCGGGATCCGCCGACCTTGTTTACTCCCGCCCCAGTTGGACGGCCTCCAAAGGAGAAGTATGGTACTGCGCCTACCTCGACTGTTCTGCGGAGGAGGCGCAGGACATCTGTTATTGCAGCTGCTCGACCTCCACGAGCTCCTCGGCGACAACCGTAACCTTAACGACCTTTTCGTCCACAACTGTTTCGGTAACCACCGACACCAAAACAAGCGAGACACCTACTGGCACGTCAACCTTGACTTCCACACCGATCACCAGCTCAGTCACGACAGGCAGCTCTACATCCACCCTGACCTCCACTACCATCACCAGCTCGGTCACGATAACCAGCTCCACTGCCACCAGGACTGCCACCTTGACTTCCACATCGATCACCAGTTCGGTGACAACAAGCAGCTCCACGACCACCAGGACTGCCACCTTGACGTCCACATCGATCACAAGCTCGGTCACGACACGAAGTGGCACATCTACTGGGACTGCCACATCGATCACCAGCTCGGTCACGTCAAGCAGCGGCACATCCACTGGGACTGCCACATCGATCACCAGTTCGGTCACGACCATTAGCAACACGTTCACCTTGACTTCAACATCGATCACCAGCTCGGTGACGGCAAGCAGCTCCACATCCACCTTGACTTCCACATCGATCACCAGTTCGGTGACAACAAGCAGCTCCACGACCACCAGGACTGCCACCTTGACGTCCACATCGATCACAAGCTCGGTCACGACACGAAGTGGCACATCTACTGGGACTGCCACATCGATCACCAGCTCGGTTACGACTGGCAGCGGCTCATCCACTCGGACTGCCACATCGATCACCAGTTCGGTCACGACCATCAGCACCACGTTCACTTTGACTTCCACATCGATCACCAGCTCGGTGACGGCAAGCAGCTCCACATCCACCTTGACTTCCACATCGATCACCAGTTCGGCCACGGTAAGCAGCACCACATCCACCCTGACTTCCACATCGATCACCAGCTCGGTCACGTCAAGCAGCGGCACATCCACTGGGACTGCCACTTACATCACCAGCTCTGCCACGACGAGCAGCCCCACCGCCACGAGGACTCTTACCTCGATCACCAGTGCGACAGCCTCATCCAGCACCAGGGTGTCCCCAGTGACAATGTCCACAGGAGCCTACTCGACCACAACATCCATGGGTACTACCAGAGTCCCGACGGGGAGTACCACCACAGCGCCAGCTGCAATCGCTCTGCTGGCAGGCAGCTTCGCCATGGCGCTGTCTGAGCCTGAAGAGCTGGTTCGCACCTTCGAGCAGGGCGACCGCGCCGTGCGCGCAGCGCTCGCCTCTGGTGTCGCAGCCGTGCTGCCCGCCGCCACCCCCGCCAACGTCGACATCACTGGCGTCTCCTTCGACGGGCGTCTTCTCTACTCGGCTGCTGGAGCTAAAGCCAGCATTGGCTCCGCCAGCGTGCGTGTCTCATTCGAGGCAACAATTTGGCGGCGCGCGCCGAAGGGGTGGCGCAACGGGGACTTCTTCGACGACAAGGGCCTTCTTAGAGGGGCCCAGAGGCTTCTGAAAAGGCCTCTTTCAAGCCGTGAGAGGGGGCCTGTAAGAAGGCCCCCGCCTGTAGGAATCCCCACCGCTTTGTTTGCAGGCCGCCCCCCTCGCGCCACCCTCCGTTGCGGGCCGCCCAACAATGCCAGCCACAAGTGCCTTCGCAGTGAACTTCTCAGCGCCGGAATTCTCTCAGGCCGCGGCTGCACTGGAGTCCAGCCTGGCGCTGCAGCTGGCCTCTGGGGCGCTGAATTTCACCGTCCTCGGCGTCGCTGGCCTCGAGGTCACTCTGGTGCTTGTGGGCCTTGGGCCTACGCCGCCTCCCAGCCCAGCAAAACACGCGTTGGGCGACAGCGCCGATCTGCTCGCGCTGAGCATGGCGGTTTGCGTTGCAGTCTGCTGCGTCGGAGCCTTCACCTGGAGGCAAGCGGGGAGCTGTCGGCGCGAGAGCTGCAAGGGCAAGCGCAGGATCGTTGACCACGACGCCGTGCCCGCCGTCAAGAGCGACCCACGCGCTGCTCAGATGAGCCCGCTGGGCGGAGTCGTGCCACTTGATGAGGACGGGGACCGCAGTCCCTCCCAGCTGGCGCCAGGGGAGGCGGAAGGTTCGGAGAAGGGCCAGTCGAGACACCAGCGGCCCTCGCTGGCGTTTGTCCTCTTTGGGCCTTCTGGAAGTTCTCGTCGCCACGCCTGGATCCGACTCCGAAAACAGGTCAGCATGGAACCCGGGAGGGGTCCCAGAGCATATTTTGAGTTGATTTTTGGGCCAGTGCGGGGGGGGGCACCGCTGTCTCCCGAGACATCCGACGCTATGATTTTTTCACCCGACCCTTTTCCAGGGCAAGGCATTTGCCTCGGATCCATGTTTGACGGTCCTGGGGCCTGCAAGCGGCCCCGGCGGCCGAAATCAGATCGTCAGCGCTGTCTCAGCCTGTCTAAGCTGGCCCTCCGCCGAAAGGCGACGAGCCAGTTGCCTGCCGCACCTCGTGCGTAATGGCCAGCCCGGGCATGCGGCACGTGCCGGCGCAGCCGGGTGGCGCTTGGCAGTTTAGGCTCGGTGGCCTGGCCACCATCGAGGGCGTTTGGGAGATGCCCTGTGTCTCGGGGGAGCGGCGGCAGACCGAAGAGAACAGCGTCAGTCTCCTGGAAGTGACCTACGAGTACCGCTAGGTGCTCGTCGACTCACCAGCGTGTGAGCCTGCTCCTGGGACGAGTTCGGCTTCGTGCCGTCCCTTGACGAACAAGCATGCCGCGTGCCAGCTCGATTTCAGGAGGATGAGTGTTTTTTCGGGTTCGCTGAGTGCCTGCTGTTTTTTCTTCCGCTAAAGTAACCCCCACCTCCGGATCATCATCACGACTGAAAGTTGATCGTCCCTCCACGACTGAAAGTTGATCATCCCGTGCCAGTACAGGTTTGGTCAGGGAAGAGGCGGCAAGGCAGATTTGTTTTTGTCGCGGGGGAAAGTTGCGAACCGAAGCCGCTCTCTCTTCTTCTGTTGATTAGCGAGGATTCCTAGGAGTCCTATGGATTCCCATGGGATTCTTATAGATTTCCGACGGGACCTTGTTGATTGTCAAAGGAATCCGATGGATGTCCGCCAGGATCTTATGGATGTCCTTCGAATCCGACGGGTTTCCATAGGATGCCTAAGGAGTCCCTAATAAATCTTATGAATGGCTGTAGGCATCTCATGGGTTTCCTCAGAACCCTTAAAGCTTTTCAAATTAACCCGAATGCTTTCGTAAGACATCGTATGTATGGCCTACAGCACTTCATGATTGTTTGAGGCATCTAGTCGATTTCCGAATTATTCATATGGATATCTTACCCAGGGATTTGCATCGGATTCTTAAGGATGTCCCTATGGATTGTCTAAGAAATCCAGTGGATTTCGGAAGGAATCTATTTCCTGAAGAACCCGATGGATTTCCAAACGTATTCCACCTCAGGAGCCGTATTGATTTTCGAAAAGGAATCCGATGGATGTCCTAAGGAATCCCATGGACTTCCTGAGGATCTGTATCGAGTTCCTTTGGATTGCCATGAGGAATCCTACGGATTGCCATAGAACGTATATGTATGTCTTGCGGACTTCGATGGATTGCACAAGGAATCCATATCCTAAGGAGTCATGTGGAAGTCCATAGGGATCTCATGGATTTCCGAAGGACTCCTTTTAAATACATGCTCTTAAGAACTTTCAGGATCAGCTTGATCATCACCGTCATCATCATCATCCTCATCTGTATGTTGAGATCTCTGTGGAAACGTTTAGTATCCCGTCTGGACCCCGAACTTTTTTTATCCTCAGAAGGGGTTATTATCTGGAGCTGGGTCTTAGCGAATGCCCCACAGTGAATGAGACTCGGAGCCAGCCCGAGTGTTTTTGATTCTACGTGTTATATCTGAAGGGGTGCGCTCCCTGCCGCTGGCCCCTCAGGCTGAGCCATCTTATGGTTCTATTGCCATGGCCTGGTGGCCAGTGCCGCCGACGCTGAAGCGGGACGACGTCGACGACGACGACGGCGATGGCGATGACGACGACGACGCTGACGCCTTGGAGTCGAAAGTGTCTCCCAGGGACAGGTGCTCCCCCGCCCCCCCAGGGGGAAGGGTCACAACCCCCAGGACCATCCTCCCCCCTCTCCCCCCGCCCCCCCAGGGACCCTCCCCCCCCGCTCCCCCAGGACCCTCCCCCCAACAGGGGAGGGATCAAAGGTAAGGATTTTCTGACGACTCGATTAAGACATTGCTCAATGTCCTTCTGGCTGGAACGCTTGAGGGGGAGCGGCGGCTGCGACGACGGCGACGATCAAACGGAAAAACCTCTCACACACGGTTGGCGACATCCCGGGGTTTTTAGGGGCTACAAAGGGGCAGTCTCGGGCAGCATTTGGGGTTCTGGGGTGTTGGATTCTTGGTAGGACATCCTAGGAGCAGGACGAAGATGGGGCATGCAACACACATTGAAAACCTTACGTGTTTTTTTTGTCTCGGGAGCATTTTGGGGCCATAATAAATGGTGGGGCCCTCTTCGGGGCCTCGTGAGGCCGTCCAGGAGTCCTCTTGGTGTCTGTGGGTCGTATGGGGGCGTCCCTACAGGAATCCCAGAACAGCCTAGAGAGGCCAGCACGCAGAGGGACACCCACCCTAGGTGCTCCTTGTGACGGCGCCCTTCACTCCTAGTAGACAGTGGGGGGACAGGACTGGAGATACCTAGGTCCCCCGGGGGGGGCGCGAAGGTAATCGCGCTTCGCGATCTGGGACAGAGCGATTGCCGCTCTCCAGGGAGGAGGCGCGAGGGCGCGATGGCGTGGAGATATCTGCGCATCGAGAGGCGCAACGCGGGAAGCTAGATGGCCTGGAGATAAGAGACGAGCAACAAACGGGAGCAACGAAAGCACGGCGACAGCACTGCAAGACCTCTCACGGCCCTGCGCCCGCCGGAGGGGGCGCGCGGACACGATGAGTTCCGTTTGAGCCTTGCAGCGAGGCAGGTTTCAGGACAACCGCGGTGAGATCGCGGCCCCGAGATGAGCACGTCAGTTTGGCATCGATTCTGCGAAGACCTCAGGCCGTCTTTGGTGCGATGGCTTTGCCAAGCTCTCCTGATGTGCTCATTCGTATTATACCCATGCTGCGGGACCCGATGACGCAACTGGGGCATCTCAGGCGCGAAGGCTCTGCCCTCTCGCGAAGAGGCTAGAACATTCGAGCCCTTGTGGAGCCATCTGGGCGGGTCTTCGGGCCGTCTTGGAGCCGTCTTTGGTCCGGTTTGGACGTTCCTGGGGCCGAGTGGGTCCGTATTGGGCCGTCTTGGTTGTCGGGTTTTTGAAGGCCTTTTGGAGTACTTGTTGGGACTGCTGGAACTCTGGGGACCTCTGCAGTCTTGGGGCCCTCTGGACGGGTCTTGTTTCCGTCTTGACACCTTCTTGCATTTTCGGGGCATGTTGTTTTGTTTTGGGACTGAGAAATGCCAAATGTTCGACGGCTGGGACCCAGGAGCAGGAGTGGCGGGATCGCCTTTTGACGGCAGTGTTGAAAATAGCCAAACACCATTCGAGCCCTCCACGTTGTGCCAGCGGCGAGGAGGAACAGGGGTCCCGCTCTTGGCGGCTCGAGCTCAGGGATCTGGCCACCCTCACGGGCGTCTGTGAAGTGCATTGGGTCTCGACCGAGCGGCGGCCTCTGGCCGAGGTAGACCGCAGTTTCAATGTCGCGGGAGTGTTTTGCCAGTACCGCTAGGTGCGTTCGTCCTCACAGGCATGTAGGCTTGCTTCTGGGAGGAGTTCGACTGCGCCCTCTCGTTGTGTAGAATCATGGTGCCGCGTCTCAATCTGGTTACCTCAGAAGGGGCAGCGCCTGTTTCTTATTGTGTCTTTCTCCTTTATAGCTAATGACCTGTGGCGGCCGACATCCGGGTCGAGCCCAGATAGTTCTAGTTGATCCGTGTTTACTGTAAAGTTGCAGTTCGTCGATTTGGTTGCTCTGCAGGCCGACCGAGCCTGAGTTGCGACTGACAGTGTGGAGGAGCATCCTCTAATTTGCGGTGAGCCCGCCGCCGTGCAAGCGCTATGCCTACGTGAGGTCAGAATCGATATACCATTGATCAGCCATGGTGCTGCCATGTCCCACGGTTCAACCGCTTACTTTGGCTCGACCCTTTGGACGTTCATGGGCTGTCCTGGGCGCGGTGACCTTGTCGAGATTTCTCGAAGGAGTTTGGCAACAAATACGTGTCCACCGCAGATCCACCAGGCGGTGTACTAATGATGCTATGGGGCCACAGCTGTCCACAAGGAGACTCATATGGAATCATGGGCGAGATTGCTTTACCGAGCTCTCGCGAAGAGGGTCGGTAGAACCATTCGGGGGATGTTTGGGCTGATGTGTGGGGCCGTCTGAGCCGTCTTCAGCGGTCCCGGGACCGTCTTGGGCCCTGTTGGCAGGAAAGTGTCTTGTAGGCGTCCCTCCGCAACGCCTCTGAAGCCAAAGCATCGACAGTCATACATATCTAGATATATCTGTACATGTAAAGCTATGTTTGAGGCTTTTCGAAAGCTTGCTTGGAAGCCTCTTCGAACCATCGTAGAGGCTTTCGGTGCTTCCTTGGCAACCCTCGAGGCGTTTAGGTTGGAACTTGGGGCCCTTTCTACTGGGTACCACTGGGATGGGCCAGACAGCTATTGGGCGCGTTTACGCGCCCTAACATGCAACAAGCAGGATGATGGCTTCTTCCCTCCGTGACAGGGCGCCCTTCATGGTAAAACCATGTTCTCTGCGGCGCTCATATCAGGCTGGCTTAGAGCTCTTATGTACATGCCATAGCTCTGCAGACGCGGCTGCACGGCAACCCTCCAGCGGCCAAGCTTATGTTTTATGTACAGCCTTGAGTACCCCGCCCCGCGCTGTATTGGGTTCTTCCATTCCGATCCGTGTGCCCTCGACTCGCTCTCTCCCCTCGCCCCTCCCCCCGGCACCCAGTGCGTCGCCGCGCAGGCGTATTTGCCCTTCCGTTGCGGGTGCAAAGACACCGACGTTCCCGGCTTGCCACGATGAAATTCGCGCGCGCGACATGAGAGCGCGCACACCGCTGCAATTAATCAAGGGCGCCCTCAAGTGCGCGAAGTTATTCGCGCTTCGTGGTTCGGCTCCGGTTCCTCCTCGTCGTCCTTTGTGTTCCTGGGGGGCGGCGCGAGAGCTCGAAGTTATTCGCGCTTTGCGCAGCGCGAAGCGCGAGGTTAGGCGCCCTTGAGTCGGAGTTCATTCGCGCAGCGCGAAGCGCGAAGTTTATCCAGTCGGCGTTGCCGCGCGAGTCCGCCACCATGAACGGACGGGCACCCAGGGGAGGCGGCGAGGGGGACGGGGAGAAGGGCGCCCGCACCTGGACTTCCGATGTTGTCGCCACCTCCTGCCTGAAAGCACGGGCGCCTTCGAGGGCGCGAAGTTATTCGCGCAGCGCCAAGCGCGGACTTGGGAGCCCTCGTGAAAAGGCAAAGGGCGCAGGAACTCATGAATGCATGCTGGGCTCGATGCGTCGGGGGCTTTGAATATCGAGAATATCGAGGGAAGGCTGGGTGGCGGCGAAGGGGGGGGGGAGAATTCAGTGTGTGTATACGTGCCTATCCCCCGACGATAATAAAGTGTGTATATGTCTCCATCATGGCCGAGGCAATGAGATCTCCCAAGTGTCACGTCCCCCGCTTCTTCTCTTAACCAGTCTCCTGGCTCCTCCTCGACCGCCTCCGGCCATGGTGCGCGGACACCCCTCTTCCTGCCTGGCACCCTGTGGTGAGTCAGTGGGAATTCGGGGTGACCGCACGGTTTTGCGATTTGGGTCGCCCTTCGAGGACGTCTCGGGCGATTGGGGTCTCCAGGGTCCCAAGACATGGTGCGGTGACGGGCCGTGCGGTGCGGTGATTCGGGATATCGAGATCACCGCACCGTTCGGGGCTTTCGCATTTTCCAAAAGCGAGGCTGACGAACAGTGCCAGGCTCCCTGGCACGCACTGGCAGCTGCAGGGGCGGTGGCGGATACACGAATTCAGAAGTGCACGGACGCGAGCGCACGCACCGCTGCAGTCATACCAGTGTGCCCGTAGCCACCGGCGCTAGCACCTGTCCAACGGCCGTGGTCCGCTGGAGCTTCTCCGACCCCATGCTCGAAAAAGAAATAGCACAAGCATCTCCGCGCAGATTTCCTGGACCGGAATTAGAGGAAAGACGAACGGCGCACGCATAGATTTTCGGAGCTCCGCGTGGATTTTCTGGCTCCGCGCGGACCTCAGAGAGTTCATGGTCATGCCAACATCATTGTTCGCCCCCCGCCTTCGCCGCTTTCTCATGGCTGGTCGCGGTTAGCGTGCTTGGTGCTGGGGCGTGATCGAAGAGAACCGTCGCACGGCCGAGCACGAGCACGCTTCATCGCGGTTCATACTTCGACCGTGTGGCCAGAATGTCAGGGGGGGACTCCAGCAATCCTGCCGTGGACACGAGTGCGCCCCACCAGGCCAGAAGACGTCCGAAGCCCCCAAGTCTCCTCTTTTTTTGCAACGTGGACGCCCCTGAGGTCCTGGGCCTAGTAAGGGCACGTGAAAGGCAGAAACGCATATTAAGAACACAAGCGAATCGGTCATAATGTCTTCCCAGCGCGTGGAGGTCTCGGCTTGCGGGCCAACCCAAAATTGAACCCATCTTGGGGCGCGTTCTGGCCAGGATTCCGGGGCGGATCCGACCGTGGCGCCGAGAAGTCCCCCAGAGGGGCAATAGAAACGAAGTGCGACCAGTAACCTCGAATCTTCCTTGCCGCCGTCGTCGCCGCCAGCGCGAGGAGGAGGCCCGGGTCGGTCCTCGACACCTCCTGGCCGCCGTCCGCTGTTCGTACTCCGGCGTGCCGCCTCACAGTCGGCCTGGGGGGAGGCAGCCGCCTGGTGCCCGCCGACGGGGAGCAGCCAGCGCCGGGCACGGTGGTCCCCGCGGGGCGCTGGGACATCTCCCTCGCAGCAACGGGGAGGATCGAGGTTTCGGGAGGTGTTCGGGTGGGGCTGGGACGAGGATAAATCTGTTCCAGAGCTTTCCGGAATGCTCACAGAGCGTTCTGGAACGCTGTGAGAAGTCCGCGGCGCCCGAGACATCCTCCGAAGCCGCTGGATCTCTTCTGGCCCGAGCGCGCCCCCCAGGCCTGGGTCCGGGGAATCTTGCATGCCCCGGCCCCATCCCGGTATGGAAGCCCACGGCGGGAGGTGTTTGTTGGTTCTCTCTGCCCTCTGGAGCCAGCCACGCGCAGAGGGGGGTGGCGGGAGGGGCGAAGGCTTAGAAGTTCCCCCCATTTTCTTTAGAGGCGCGGGCGCCCCTTCTAAGAAGCTGGTGGTCGCTTTTTTGAAACTGTTCCTTTTGTGATTCGAATAACCTGTTCCTGGCCAGAGCGCGACCCAGGATGGGTCCGGGGGTCGTGCGGGCCCAGGCCTCCTCGCGCTGCGGAAGCCCAGGTCGGGAAGGCCTCCTCGCGCTGTGGAAGCCCACGGCGGGAGGGGTTTCTCTCCGCCCTTTGGTCGGGGAAACGTAGAAACGTAGGAATCGAGTACGCCGGAACTCGGGTTTGCTGGCGCTTTTTGACGAGCGCGTCCTGGATTTGGATGCTTTAGTTTTCGCGGGATGTCTGCAGCTGGAGCTCGCGTCAGATTCCAGATTGGGCCTCATCATTTTCATGATGGCCCCGTCAGGACAACGCAAGTTCCTCTCCGCCAGCCCCCGACTGTTCGATGAAATATGGCCGCTCAGAAACGGAGGGAAACCTTTGGGATACACCCCAAGGGGGCTATTCGGACGCACCCCTATCCAGGATGGGCGCACTCCCATCGTATCTCCCAGGGTTGGGCCCCAAATTGCTGGTCCATTCGAAAGCCTCCGCTTGGAATAGGGTCGACAGATCCCCTGTTGCTGGCGGCTCCCACCAGGCTCTGGAACGGTCAGGAAACGACTTCGGGACGAAAGGCCGATCCCTTGGAAAGGGTTTGAACCTCGGGGGTTCCACGCCGAGAAGCCCACACGACGTCGGGGGTGTGGGGAGGTGTTCCCGACCCAGGGTGCCCCCAAGCTTTTCCAGGGAGGCTCGGGTAGCCCCCAGAGCCCTCGTCACGAGGCCCACGGGGCCTCAGGGGCTCCACACTGGCGCGAGAAGCTGGGGACACCTTGGGTCAGGGACACCTTTGTCAACCACCGAGCGTCGGGTTTTTCGGCGTCGTCGGAGTCGGCGTCGGCGTCGTCAGCGCCCGCGTCGTCGTGAGCGCCAGCATCGTCAGCGTCAGTGTCGTCGTAGTCCGCGTTGTCGTCGTCCGCGTCAGCTTCGGCGTCTGCTATGTCGTCATCGTCTCCAGCGTCGTCGTCGCAGCCGCAGGAGGAGGATCAACAGAGTGAGGGGCTGGCGTGCTGATACTGTCTCCTCAGTGGGGGGTGGGGCGTGAGGTGGCAGGCCCTCCTGCTCTCTTCCTCCACTGCCTCTCCTCCTCCCTTTCTTGCGGGGCCCATTTCGATCCGATCGACCCGATTCGATATCGCCTATGGCTGGCTCGATCCGGTTCCATTCCGATGCTCGACGATCCGATGTGGCTTGCCTGCGTTGCGTTGCTGCATCCTGGCGCCGGCAGCCGATCCGACGCCCATCCCGATTCGATATCGATTCCGTGCCGATGGAGCCCGATCTGACGCGCATTCCGATTCGATCCGACTTCCCGATTCGGTGCTGACTGATCTTACCCTCGGGGAGCTGCCAAGGGTGTCCTTGGCCCCAGGGGCCCCCTGCCTCTCGCGCCACTGCAGGCCTCCCTTGGGCCCCCCTGGGGCCTCTTGGCGGGTGCGGGTGCTCTGCAGGCTGCGGCCTCGGCCTCTCCCTGGGGATCCTGGGGGGGGAGGGGGCACCCTGGGCCAGGGACACCCCTGGCAGCTCCCGATCCTCCTCCCCGTGCCAGGCGGTGACGATGCCCACGGCGCCAGCGGCTGCGCCCGCCACGGCGACGCCGGGCACGGTGGCGACGATGACACCCTCGGTGGTGTCTGCGACCTCGGTGCAGGCGCGGTCGGGGTCGGCGGGGCCCAGGCCTCCCCTCGTCGCCCCCCCTCCCCCCTCACGGTCTGGCCGCCCGAAGGCTCACGCGGCACACCCCCGGAGCGCTTGGGAGCGCCGGGGAGCTCGGGGCCGCTTCGAGGGATCCCACAGTTCCCTTCCCTTGGCAGAATTGCGGGAGGCTTTGAGCGCTCCGCTTTGTGCTGAGGGCACGGTTGCGGATTCCAAGGCGCGATGCCAATGGGGCGCCAAGGGGAGCGCCGCGATTGCGAACTGGCCCCGAGATGGCTTTAGGAGAGCTTCAAGTGGGCTCGAGGGACCTTCAAGAGGGCACCAAAGCAGCCCCGAAAGCGGCGCGAGAGGGCCCAGCAGTGCCCAGAGTTCCCAGCAGGTCCACGATGGCATCGAGAACGCCCGCGAGGGCCCCAAGAGAGCCAAAGAGGGCGCCAACATGGCCCAGCCTTATCAGTGGGGAGCAACAACGCATGAACATCAACGCATGCACATGTAATTGTGTATGTGTTGCCTCAGTTGATATGTTTCTTTCCTGTGGTAGCTGCACCCCCCCACCTTGCCACACCTTGCCCTCTCGTGCGTCGATTTTGGGCTTTCGGTTCCCGTGCTGCCACAGGTGACGGAAAGAGCGAGGTACCAGTGATGACGTTCTGGAATAGCCCTTTGGGGATGGATTCCAGTCGAGGGGCGAAGCGGAGGCAGTGGGTATTAAACGACCACCACCACCCAAGACGGCCCAAGAGGCGCTCACGACGGCCCAAGAATCCCCCAATACGGCGTAAAAGAGGTCCAAGACGGCTCCGAGACGTTCCAAGGGCGCTCCAAGATGGCCTACGATGCCCTGAAGACGGTCCGAGAGGGTCCCAAGACGGCCCCAGAGTCTAGAGGCCCTTCAGAGGACCCCCCCAGAGGGCATCAGGAGCCCCAAACAATTGATTTCCCATCGGTTTTTGAAAGTTGTTCGTGTTTTCGCTTTTTCGAGCGTCCGTCGGCCCAAGAGGCCCCAAAGATCGCCCCGAGAGGCCGCCAAGATAGCCCCAAGAGGGCCCCAGAGTGCCCCAAGAGGGGCCCAGAGGGACCCCAGAGGCTCCCCAGAGAGCCACAAGATGGCCATGAGAGGCCTCCATGAGGGCCCCGAGAGGGCTCGAAGACGGCCCACGCCTCCAAGGACTCCCCACGAGGCTCCCAACACGACCCAAGAGCCTCCCCAGAGGACCCCCCAGACGGCCTGAGGAGGCACAACATATTGATGTTCGATCTGTTTTCCCTTGTTGCTCCACACCATCCTGTGGTGTTGGGTCCTCGTTGCGACAGCGCCCCGCGTCTCCTCCTCTCCTCATCCCCCCTCGCATCCCTACATCCGCCCTACGCACGTCAACCAATTCCTCATCCCCTTACATGTTTCATGGCCCCATAGGGAGCTCCACCTAAGGCCCCATTGGCTGTGTTCGCAGGTGGCCGCCCCGTCCACTTCGGCACACAGCTCATGCCCCATAAGGAGCTCCATCTAAGGCTCCAGTGGCCATGTTCGCATGTGGCCTCCCCGCCGATTTCGGCACACCCCTCACACGTTTCGTGGCCCCAGTGGCGTTGTTCGCATGTGGCTGCCCCACCCATTCCGGCACACTCCTCACGCGCGTCGTGGGACCATTCCGGGCTCTATTTTAGGCCCAAGTGGCCGTGCCGCATTAGGGCGCCCTGCCCGTTTTCGAACTCCCCTCACGCGCTTCGTGGCCCCATAGGGAGCTCCACCTAAGGCCCCAGTGGCCATGTTTGCATGTGGGCGCACCACCCATTTCGGCACGCCCCTCACACGTTTCGTGGCCCTATAGGGAGCTCCACCTCAGGCCCCAGTGGCGATATGCGCATATGGCTGCCCCACCCATTGCGGCACACCCCTCACGCGCTTCGTGTGACCATGGGTAGCGAGGTCTAAGTCGCCATGTTCGCATGTGGCCGTCCCACTCATGCCGGCACACTCCTCACGCGCGTCGTGGGACCATTCCGGGCTCTATTTTAGACGCCATGTCCGCATGTGGCCGCCTTGCTCGTTTTCGAGCACCCTTTTGTGGCCCCATAGGGAACTCCACCTAAGACCCCAGTGGCCATGTTTGCATGTGGGCGCTCCATCCAGTTCGGCACAACCCTCAAGCGCTTCGTGGCGCCATAGGGAGCTCCACCTAAGTCCCCAGTGGCAATGTTCGCATGTGGCCGCCCCACCCATTGCGGCACACCCCTCACACGTTTCATGCCCCCACAGGGAGCTCCACCTCAGGCCCCAGTGGCCATGTTTGCAAGTGACTGCTCACCCATTTCGGCACACCCCTCGTACGCTTCGTGGCCCCATAGGGAGCTCCACCTACGGCCCCAGAGGCCATATTCGCATGTGTCCGCCCTCCCATTTCGGCACACCCCTCACATGTTTCATAACCCCATATAGAGCCCTTCTTCAGCCTCCAGTGGCGTCGTTCGCATGTGGGCGTCGCGGCTGTTTCGGCAAGTCACTCACACGCTTCCCTTCTACGTTCCGTGGCCCCATAGGGCGCCCCACTGAGGCTCTAGTGGCGATGTTCACACGACGACTCCGCCCCATTTCGGCACACCTCTCATACGTTTTGTGGCACATGACGGCCTCGCCCCATTTCGGCAAAGCTTTCACACGCTTCGTTGCCCCATAGGGAGATGCACCGAAGGCGATACCCACGACTGTCCCCACAACTGCATATGGTTGGGTCTTTCACTGGGATCATTTCCCAACCGTCCGGTGGTGTTTGGTCTTCGTTTTGAAGAGAGCGCCCCGCGTTTCCAACTCATTCATTCCTCATCCACCTCCTCCCTACTCGCATCCCTGCCCCTGCCCTCGACTATAGGGGGCTCCACCGAGGGCCCCAAAGCTCTTGCATGCGTCCCCCCCAGCCCAGTACAGCGCTTCGTGGCCCCATAGGGAGCTCCACCGAAGGAGTTGCCGCGTTCGAGCTCCACAGAAGGCCCCAGTGGCCGCGGCCGAACGACTCCCCCCCCCAAACCAGTACAGCGCTTCGTGGGCCCAAAGGGAGCTCTACCAAGGCCCCGATGGCAGCGTTCGCATGCGTCCCCCCAGTCAGTATAGCGCATTGTGGCCAGATAGGGAGTTCCATCGAAGGCCCTGGTGGCCGCGGCCGAACGACTCCCCCCTCAAAACCAGTACAGGGCTTCGTGGCCCCAAAGGGCGCTCTACCAAAGGCGCAGGTGGCAGCGTTCGCATGCGTCCCCCCACTCAGTACAGCGCTCTGTGGCCACACAGGGAGCTCCACCGAGAGCCCCATCCACCGACAGCTCCAGTGGCAGCGTTCGAGTGCGTCCCCCCGCCAAGTACAGCGTTTCGTTGCAAAATCGGTGGATCCACCGAAAGCCCCAGTGGCCGCGGCCGAATGCGTCCCCTCCGCCCAGTACAGCGTTTCGTGGCCCAAGGGGGAGCTCTATCAACGGCCGTGCGATCCCCCCACTCAGCACAGCGTTTCGTTGCCCCGTCGGGAGCTCCACCGAAGACCCTGGTGGCCGCGGCCACATGCGCCCCCCCCCCACCCAGTACAGCGCATCGTGGCCTCATGGCATGCGTTTCCCCACCCATTTCGCCACAACCCTCACGCTTTTCGTGGCCGCATAAGAAGCTCCACCAGAAGCGGTGCCCACATCTGCACATGGTGGGGCCCGGCCCTTCGCCTGGATGATCGGGTATTCGCCTTTTCGCGCCCAGATCGGCCGACGACGGCTCCGAGGGCCTCCGCGGCTGCCGCAAGACGACCGAGGAGGCTCCCAAGAGGGCCCCAATACACGAGGCCCACAGGACGGCCACAGAGAGCCGCACAGGGGGCGAAGAGGGTCCCCAGAGACTCCCAGGATAACCCAAGAGTGCCCCGAGGACGGCCCACGAGTCATCCAAGAGGACTCCCGAGACTGTCTAAGGGGTCAAACAGCATGGGTTTTCATGTGTGTTGCTTTGCTTTTGGGGGTTCTCACCTTTTCAGGCCCAGATTGCTCGAAGACGGCTCTAAGAGCCGCCGAGGCTGGCTCAAGACGGCCTAGGAGGCTCCAAAAAGAGCCCCACGAGAGCCCCGATGCAGCATAAGAGGGCTCCAGGACGGCCACAGAGAGCCGCAAGACGGTTTCAGAGGGGCCCAAGAGACGGCCTTTGGTGTAGGGACTGGGCTGCCCGGGTGTCGGGACTTGGCTGCACTCCGCCATGAGTGTAGCGACCGGGCTGCCCCGCAGGATGAACGTGGGAACGGGCATGTGTTTTGTTCGGGCCGCCTTGAGCTAGCCTGGGGGTAACGTCAACCATTCTCGACACCAAGGCGGCCAATAGCAAGCGGTGACGTAAACAGCTCTGGACACCAAGGCTCCGAAGAGCGAACGGTGCCATGAGCCATTTCGGGGCAGATCCTCAGCTCGCTCGTTCCGTTCCCCTGCCCGCCAAGGTCTGGCACGCCATTGGCCGTTCACGCTGGCCAGAGATTGTCTTTGATGTTCAGTGGAAGTGGGTCGAAGACTCGCATTGCTTCACGTGAAACCCTTGGCACCGATCGGGCTTGAACACATTGGTCTCAATATGAGTGCGGTCTCTCTGGCTCCCTGTGTCTGTCATCTTCCGATCCGCGAGCAGGAGCCCATTCCATCTAGAAGTTGTGGCTTTGCATGTCGTCCATGCCAGCAGGAGTTCGGACTTGCGCCAATTTCCATGCAGCACTGCAGATTGTGAGAGCGGTGGACCCCCAGCCCAGATACAGGACAAGCTCGAGAAATTGAGTGCATGCTCATGGCTTTGGCACGCTGTGTGCAGGTTTTTGTTGCATTGTTTGTTCCTAATCGGTGTCTGACTTGCAACGCCGTGGTAAGCTATCTGCCGTGCCTCGTGTTAAACGTTTGCTTGCAGCAATGCCAGACAGGATCTGCGGTCATGGTGCACCCATGCGGAAGGATCCTGGAGGATAGGTTTTCTCGTTGCAACGGTCATTGCGCCCAGGCTCCCCGCATGGATTCGCTTGCCTTTTTCAGTCATTGTGCCCATGTTCACCTTGCCGGAACACCTCCCAAAGAAGCGGAGGGAGGGCGCAGCTCCATCCCAAGTGCCGTTCCCAACGGCGGGCTTGCAGACACAGATGTTGCCGCAGCACGTGCCGCAGCAAGCCGTGCAGACGCAGATGCTGCAGGCACAGGCCCAGCAGCAAGGGCAGGACGCTCAGTTGCAGGCGATGCAGGAGCTGATGCAGCAGATGCAGATGCAGCAGGGCCAGATGCCGAGTCAGCAGCAGCAGATGCAGATGCTCGCGATGCAGGAGCAGATGCTGCAGCTGCAGCAACAGGGCCATGTGCAGAGTCACCAGCAGCAGATGCAGATGCGCGCGATGCAGGAGCACATGCAGCAGCAGCAGCTGCAGCAGCAGCAGCAGCAGATGCAAGCGATGCAGCATCAGGCATCCGAGCAGCAGCAAATGCTCTACTACCAGCAGGCGCAGCAAGCAGCCATGCAGCAGCAGGCGTCCATGCAGCAGCAAGCAGCCATGGAACAGCAGGCGGCCATGCAGCAGCAGCAGCAGCAGCAGCAACAGCAGCACATGTATTATTATCAGCAGGCGCAGCAGGCATCCATGCAGCATCAGGCGTTCGCGCAGCAGCACGCAGGCATGCAGCAGCAGATGCAGCAGCAGCAGCAGCAGCAGCAGCAGCTGCAGCTGCAGATGCAACAGCAGCAGATGCCGCTACCTTCGCAGCTGGCACCGCAGCAGCAGCCGGGTGCGGGGCCTCAGACTCTTCCTGCCATGCCTGTGGCGGGTCCCCAGACTCTGCCTGTTATGCCGCAGCCGGCGCCGCATGCACAGACTGCGCCGCCCGGGTCGCCTACCGAGCCAGCCATGAGCTCCACGTCCATGGTCCCGGCGACGACCCCGGGGCAGGTTTGGATGGGTCCCGCGGGCTTCGCCAACCCAGGCCCGGTAGGCATGCCAACGCAGGATGTCGGTTCGATGCCGCCGAAAGCGGCGCAGCCCACAGGCGCCTTGGACATCACACGCTACGTGGTGACCCCGCAGGGGGCATCTCCAGTGCCGTCAGGTCCCGTGTCCGCGTCGCAGCAGCCCGACGTCATCCACACCATGGCGCCCCCCATATACATGGAGGCCCCGCCTATACAGGTGCCCTACAATCCGCACTGACACCGTGTCAATCGGCTCGACGTTTTGCTAGGGCGGGGCAGTTGGTGCCGAGAGGCGATATCATCGGAGGGACGGGCTGGGGCTTTGCGATGATAGTGCGTGCGCAGAGTGTTTAGTTTTATTGTTTTACACTGGCCGTTAAACGGTCTGATCCCAGAGAGCGGCGAGGGACTCCTGAACAATTTCAGTGGTGCCCCACGATCTTCTGCTGGATCTTGGTTGATTTGCTTCATGCCAGTGGGCCCTCAAGTGGCCACCTGGCTCGATATACGTGCAGGGAAGCGCAGGTCAGACCTGGCTCTCGCGGCCGACCTCCCACCTACAATTAGAATTCGCCTGTTCCGCGTATCTCAAGCGTGCCTTATGTCTATCACTACGTGGCCCCGTGCAGTTCTCGAGCCCTTCCAGGCCGATGGCTTTTTCATTCAGGGTTGTTCAATCTCCGCCCCAGCGCTCGAAAACGGCCATCGGAGGCTGGGAAAGGCGAAACACTAACGCCTCGTATTGGGTCCTCGTTTCCTCACCTCACCTCCTCCCCGTCTCCTCCTCCTCATCTCCCTCGTCCGCCTGCGCATGTCAGCACACACCTCACGGTCATCGTGCCCCGACAGGGCGTTCCACCTGCGGCCCAAGTGGAAGGGTCCGCACGGCGGCGCCGCGACCATTGCGGAACAGCCTCGGCGAGGTTCGTGCCCCGCGTGGAGCTCGGCGCGCCTGCGCCGGCTCGCTCCGCGGACCCCACATCCACACTGCCCAATGCCCCGCGGCACGTTGCATATGAGGAGAGGGCCGCGCCCGTCACCAAATGGAGCTGCACAGGGTTGGGCCTGGGCCCGTGGCCAGGAAAACTGTTCGAGACGACGAACGGCTGGACGGACGAGCCACAAGGGAAGTATCGCTATTGCACCCCCATCGGGACACGCCACGGCATGCCCTGTCATGTTTCGGCGTAGTGGTTGCCAAACCAATGCGGGGCGTGCCGACATGACACAGCAACCACCGAGCCAGCAGACAACCAAGCACGTTACACCGTATCGCGCGAATGACGCAGACGAGTAGCGCGAGGAACACCGTAATGAATATCATGAGCACCGTACGTGAAGAGTGGCCATCTGAGTCCCCTTCCAGCCTCCCGCAGGAGTCAGGAGTCCATGCCAAGGGCCAGAGGGAGGAGAAGCAACTACCTCCACCTGCGGGCCACTCCCAGCGAGGAGTTCCACGGTACCCACCCCCGAGCCCCCGAGCTGGAGACTGGAGTCTCGAGCAGGATGCCGCAAACTTAGGGGACCATGCCACCAGAAAAGACTCTTCCTGCCTGCCTCCTCGCGATGGTGGTGGCGGTGCCGATTTCCTCTGCTCCTCTCCCGTCCTTCCGCCGCCGCCACGATGCCGGGGCCCGAGGCTCTAGAACCCGGGCCCCGCCCCTGCGAATTCGCTCCAGCAGGCCCCGGCCCCGGAGCGCGCGCGCTCACGCGCGCCCCAGAAGGCACCCGGGCGGCCAGGTCCCAGACACCCGGTGCCTCGAGCAAAAATCGTTGCGGTCGGCTTATTGCCATCGCTGGTTCGCGGAAGCTGGCTTCGGGCCTCGGGGCCATCAAGCATCGGGCACACGTAAGAACCTAAGAGTGAGCTTTCGCGAGATTGATCTTCAGTGCGCGGCTTTCGGGGGGCGCGGGGGGGGGGCAAACAGCCAAACACAAGCACGCAGGCTGGCAAGCCTCGCGACACAGATCATTCTTGCCCAGGGTCGAAGGTGAAAAACGGCGACGGATGAAAAACGGAACCTGGGCAAAATGTCGATTGGTCCAGGGACCCACGAATCGAACAAATTCAATCGCCAGATAAGACAGGGATCCAGAGATCCGGGCCAGCTTGCCATCCCGAGCCGTTTCTGACGGCCCATGGGGCTGGGGCACGGCCTTTGGAGTCCGTAATTGCAAACAGCAGTTTTGATTTGTTCCAGACTCAGGGGGCAGTTGTAGGGAGGACAAGGCCCACAGGGGCATGCATCGACCCCCAATCGCTCATTGATCGCCAAGTGGGGCCTGATAGCCCAGGCCACCCAGGAACCCGCGGTCTCGCTATCGGGAGCCGATCGCCGATTCCAGGTCACGTCCCCCCCCAGTTCCCCTCTCTACCGCTGCATCTCAGAAGACGGCGAACAAAAGCAGTCGCCTCGATCTGTTCAAGACGCTGGAGGTGGCCCTTCGGGACCCGCGCAACGGGATCAAGAGTCGAGGCGCCGGACGTCTGAAGGGAGTGCGGCCGTCCGCCCGGAGGCGCGCGGCTCCCACCGAAAGCCACTGCCAGAGGCCAGCGGAGGCCGTGCGGCGCCGAGCGCGCGGCTCGCCGCCGTGGAGTTGCGCTGGGTGGGCGGGCGCGTGGCGGAAATGCTCTGCCGATCTCCACCAGTCTTCGGGGCCCGGCCTGATCTCAGACGATCTGATGTGTCCAATGCGGGCGTTTTTCTTCGATCTTGGCATCAGGGAGCTCATTACTCCAGATTTCGTAATAAAGGGAGGGGGGTCTCATTTCGGGGGGGGTCTCTTCCAGGCTATCTTGGAGGGCCTGGGGGGGTCTGGGGACGATGTTTTGGAGGGTTCTCCCACGGGGGGGGGTCTGAAATGGCTGGTCTTGGAGGGTCCAGACCCCCTCCCTTTTATCACGAAATCTGGAATATTGTTTTTGGGCCCCGAGACCATCAAAAACGGATCCGGGCCGAAAACCTGCGCAAGGGGAACGGGTCGGGACAAGTGGGGCCGCGCATTGAACATTCGTATCGCCGGATGGCTGGGCGGGCACAGAGGGACCCATTCCGATCCGGTCGATCGGATTCGGCATCGATTTCGGCTGGCTCGATCCAGCCTGGCGGGAATGCTTCGCCGATCTCCGGCGGTCTTCGGGGCGCATATAGTCAAGGCGTTGAAACATGGAGCAGCTTGGCTTCGGCAGGGCTTCGCTGTCCTTAGGTCCTTCCATGGTAGTTCCTCTTGCGCCCCTCGTGCACCGTTTTTTTCCCTGGGGGGGACCAAACGGGGCTTCGTTGCTTAGTTAGCGTGTAGCATGACTGTGTTTGCTACGGTGGTCATGCGGGCAGCTGCCTTCATTCAGGAGGCCTTGCAGTCAACGCCCACTCACTCTCGCTGCCGCAGAGGCCAGCGGCTGCCCCAGATCCAGCCCTGACGCTCCTCTGACCTCTGTGGGGAAGACGTCGACACTTCACGGGTAGGTCTCCCATGGCCCATGGCCCATTCCCATCATATTGACCCGACTCGATCTCGAATTCGGCCAGCCTGATCCGATTCGAAATCGATGTTCCAGCGATCCGACCCAGCGATCCGACGCGGACCAATGCTTGCATGTCGTTGTACATACGAGCGTGGCCGATCCGAAGCCACGAGTTCCCCAAGACACCAAACGAGGGCTCCATGAGGCCCCCCAGACGGCCCCAGGAAGCCAGCCTCGACAGCCCAAACGGCCCCCCAAACCGTCGCAAGATGGCCCAAGAGGCCCACAAGAAAGTCTCAAGACGGCCTCAGAAAGCCCCAAGACGGCCCCAGAGGCGCCCAAGACGGCCACAAGACGGCCTCGAGAGGGGTTCAAGATTGCCTGAGACAGCCCTGAGACCGCCAGCGGGCCCCAAGAGGGCTCCCAGAGGCCCCCAGATGCCCCCAAACAGCCCGCACAGAGGCCCGAAGAGGCGCCCAGAAAGGCCCGAACAGGGCCCAAACAGGTTCAAAATTATTCCCAGGGGACCCACAGAGGCTTCCCAATCTACCCCGCAAGTCTTCCTAATTAAGCCGGGCCTTCGACTCACTTGGTTGCAGCCGTCCTTCGAGATAAGTGCTCCCGCTTCGCGGCGGCGCCAGCTGCTCCGGCGACTCAGCCTGCCGTGCACCCTCCTTCTCCTCCTAGCCTTCCATGCCTCCTCCTTCGCCTCCTGCTCCGCTGCCTCCTTCTCCTCCGATCGGTCCCCCTCACCGTCCTCGCCCTCTTCAACCTCTTCTTCTCCCTCTCATGTTCGCTCTAATTGGCCCAATTATCCCTTGCTTTGCTTGGTTTGCGTGGTGCATCCATCTATCTACAGGTGCCCCCCACCAGGCGCCGTCGCTCCGATACGTCCGTGCACTTACTGCCCATCTATATGCCCCTCCCGGGCGCCGTCGCGCCCTCGGGTTGGTTTGATCGGTGGCGATCATCGATCTACCGATTTATCTGCGCTCCGGCTACAGAAGCTTTCCAAAATTAGTTCAGGGGAGGTCCACTCCTCTTACGAGGCTCCGAGGCTACCCCAGGAGGCGTCCATAGCTCCGCAGAAGTTCCGTAGGTTCCGCACTGTCAACAAATTAGAGGAAACGGCGTTTTTTGTTGGTGTTGGCAGGGGGGGGGGGTTCACCCCCCCTTCCTCCCCGACAAATCCAAGGGGGGGTGGTCGGGACTCCAACCCCCGTCAGGAAAATTAGTGAAGGAGGTCTGGGATTCCCCCCGCACCCGGGGAAAATTCGCAGGGGGGGTCAGGACACTCCCGCCCCACCTCTGGGAAAATTCGTGGGGGGGACCCGCTGGACGCCCCCCCGCGGAAAAATCATTGCGCCCTCTGTCTCCCGACGACGACAGCGACGACCACGACGACGTTGACGACGACGACGACGACGACGACGACGACGACGAAGACGACGACGACGACGACGCACGACGCACGACGCACGACGCCCGACGCACGACGACATCCCATAACCGGCCCAAGACGGTCGCAACCCTTTTCGGACAGCGAGTCGCCTGCAAACCCCGACTTTCGTGTCATCACGGCGCCACGGGTTGGGCTTGGACCGAAGCGCGCTGAAGGGCCTTGGGAGGCCATGTTAATGATTGGTTGAACGAGGGCGGCCCGCGAAGGTCGCTAAAGATGGGCCCAAGGGGCAAGGATGCAAGGGAAGCCATGACAAGTGACCCATCCCTCATCCTTCCTATGCGGGTTGACTGTCGTACTTTTCTTTCTTTCGAACGAACATATGCGACATCGTAAACAATTCAACGCAAGGGAAAACAACGCGGGGCAATGTAAAACAACGCAAAGCAACGTAACACACTGCAGCAACAAATAATTCAGTGCAAATCCGTGCGAAGAAAAAACAATGCGACTCAATGCAACGCGCTTGCGATGCAATGCGAATGCAACGCAACGAATTGCAATTGCAACGCAATTCGATTGCAATGCAACGCAATGCGATTGCACGTCAATGCGATTGCAATGCAGCGGGGGGCGGAGGGTAGTGCAAACAGGGGGCGGCGACAGACGGGAACCGGGCCGTCTGGAACGACGTCGTCGTCGTCGTCGTCGTTGTCGTGTCGGTGGGGTTTGTGGGCGCCTCTTGGGCGCCTCCTTGGGGCCTTTTGGCCGCCTGCTGGGGGCTTCGTTGGGAACATTCGAAGGTTTGTTGGGAGCCTGTTGGCGATGTCGGCCGCCAGTTTGGCGCAAGAGAGCTTCTGGGCCTGTTCGATTTTCCCTCTCCGGGGTCGAAAACATTGACCTCGGGAGTGGGTTTGTTTCGGTTTGGAGGTTTTCTTTTTGGAATCTTACACTGGGAACCATTTCGAAGTTGCTGCTGCAAGGCAGCGCCGCGGATTCAAGACAACTAACCACATACAACCCAATACGTACGCATGGACACCAGGACAAATGCATGGAGGCCCAATTCCGCTCAGGAACGGGTGGAAGAGTAACATTTCCAGAAGCGCAAGATTGCCAGAAGAGAGAAGCCGTGGAGAAGACCCAGAACAGAAAATCCAACCGTTGTTCTTCAACGGGCCCCCAGGATGCCCAACCAGTTCCCGTCACAGGCCCGCCAAGCAGCCTCCAGGGGGCCGCCCACGACCACCAGTGAAGACGCACTAAGTTTTCTGAGAATAGCCCGAAAGACCCTCCACCCACCCAACTGTACATGCGGAGCGGCATGTGTACACGTAGCGATGGCACCCACGGAAGTCGTCATCGGACCCGCCGACGACACGATTGTGCTTGCAGTGGCTTGCCTGGCCGTGGTGACGGAGGCGCTCTGGTGCGTTGTGCCATGTAGGTTGTGCAATAGGTATGAAGCAATGTATGTAGGGCACGCTACGTGGTGCAACATATGTGGTGCAATGGAGCAGTCTATGCGTGCGCAATCTGTGCCATGTACGTGGTGCAATGTGCAATGTACTGCAGTCTAGATTGTGCAATGTACATGGTGCAATCTATGTGGTGCGCAATCTGTGCGGCGCAATCGACGTGGTTCAATATACGTGGTGCATGCAGTCTACTTGGTGCAAGTTTGCGGTGCAATTGACTTTGACGTTCCTCGCGCGTGGCCCCCTCCTACGTTCGTGCCAACATCCCACCCAACCAACCGCGACTTGGTATGCAAAACCTATGCGGCAGCGACTGCGATGGCTGCTTGGCGCTTGGCGCTTGGCGCAGGCTCCCGCGCAGAGCGGCCAGCGAGTCTGGCGCGACCGACGCGGCCGCGGTGGCGCTGTCGCGCGGGCACATCAGTGCGAGTCGGTGATTCGGGCGGGCGCGATAATTATCATGGCGACGTCGACGCCGGCAGAGACGATGATGATTGTAACGATCTTGGTGGCGGTGCTGACAATGACGACGGTCAGGGCAATGACGGCGCCGATGCGGATCACGCCGATGACGATGATGGTGTCCTCGCGTCGGTGATGAAGGTGCTGGGCAGATTTCGACAAGCGCGCGCGGTCGACGCGCGCGAGTGGCCCGCACGTCTTTATTTGACAGGGATCGTGCCTCCCCAGCACGTGCGCAAAGGCGTTCGAATGATTTCGACATGCTCGTGCGAGAGGCAAAATAGGTAAACTTTGATGAGCATGTACGCTGGAAAAACCGATGGTCCGAACTCGCAAGAGCGCGGGTGCAGGTTGTTTTGGCATTTCCTGCCGCGAAAACATTAAAGTTGTGTTTGACCCAGGCATTCGACCTTGAATTCCGTAGGAAACTGAACGCGTTCGCAGGATTGCGGCATGCGCGCTCGACGACGCGCGCGTGCGCACTTCGTTTTTTCATTGAAGGAGATTCTTGCGACAGGGAAAGCGATTCACGCTGAACGATTTCGGCATGCGCGCGCAATTGGCATGTTTTGTCGCATGGGGTGAACATGTTGGATTCGCATGGGCGCAGGCGCTGACTTTGTCATGCGAGCTTGAGCGCAACATTCCCGTCGCGAAGGCATTGGTCGTTGATGTGTTGTCGGGGCATTCGATTTCGAAGTCCCTACGACACCTAAGGTGTTTGAAGGGTTCTGGGATGCGCGTGCGACGACCCGCGTCGCCCCACTTCTAACCAGAGGTATTCGAAACACGCTTCGTAATGCGATTAGGTGTGAGCGCATGCTAGCTTTT